GCTTGTCCAGCGCCGTGTTCCGGAGCAGAGTGAATGTGGTGGCTCTGGCAGGGCAGAGCTGCTGCAGCTGCTTGGAGGGCTTTCCTGGAGGATTTAGCCTTCCAGATGGGTTTCTTTCTGTATCCAAGCATGTCCCTCTTCCTTCTCCAGTGCCTGGTGGCATTGCCTCGGAGTCCCTCACCTTCACCCCCCTGGAGGACATGATATTTCTGAAGTGGGAGGAACCAGTGGAGCCCAACGGCCTCATCACGCAGTACGAGGTACGTCCTGAGGCTGCGGCACCTGTGGGGGACCCATGGGGACATGGGGGGTGTCAGGGGGATACAGTGAGTGGGAGCTGAGGCAGCCACCACTTTGGGTCACTGGGACTAAGGGTGGCTGTGGTGTTACTGCTGCCCTGAGCCCTTCGTTTAGAGCATGGATCCAGCCAGTGTTCATCTTCCTGGGGACAGGGTCCTGCTGGGGGTTCTGCTCTTCAGGGTGCTGCTCTCGGGGTCACCAGTGTCATCCAACACTGGCATTTCCAGTGGAACCCTTATTTTCCACCAAAAGTGCCTGCCTTTCGGACTGCCCCTGTGACCATCCCCTCTGCTGAATCCATCCCTCTAACACCTTCTCCTGGGACCTGGGCTCTCTCCCCCCCACCACAGCTGTTGCCCTGTCCCTGCAGATCAGCTACCAGAGCATTGAGTCCTCTGACCCAGCAGTCAACGTGCCCGGCCCGCGACGCACCGTCTCCAAACTGCGCAACGAGACCTACCACGTCTTCTCCAACCTCCACCCTGGCACCACCTACCTCTTCTCAGTCCGGGCCCGCACTGGCAAGGGCTTTGGCCAGACAGCACTCACCGAGATCACCACCAACATTTCTGGTAGGTTCCCTGAGCTCCAGACATGGTGCTTCTCCTCCACACCGGTACCTGGTGGAAGTGCTGGAGCCTCTGCCACACTCTTGTGGATTTTGGAAACTAGCTGCTGCTACTAAAAGATTCTCTTGGTGGTGACAGCTGTGCTGTGAGCCCCCCACACCTGGGGCACTAGTGCTGTCTGAGCCATCAGTGTGTAATCAAGGGATTAATTGAGCTTGTTAATTAACCTCACAATACTTGGGACTGTTTGCTCATGTCTGCTGCATCGCTATTAACCACAACAAATAAGCTGACATAGGCCCTAACGGGGGCACAGGATCCCAATGGCTGCTCATAAGGGCTGGGGGGCTGTGCTGGGCATGAAGGGGTCCCTGCCTTGGTGTGGGGGTGCTGCTGGGCTGGCTTGGGTGTTCTTCTGCCCTGGGTGGGATGCTTGAGACCTGGAGGACTGTTTTTCCTTTGCAATAATCCACATGACACCATTTGCTGATGCCATGGACAAGGCTGCTTGTGCCTCAGTTTCCCCCTGAGTGGCCGGACAGCTCCGAGTGCATCCCTGGGGGCCAGGACTCACCCCTGCCCTCTCCACTCCTGTCCCCTTTGCAGCTCCCACCTTCGACTACGGGGACATGCCATCGCCGCTGGGCGAGTCGGAGAGCACCATCACGGTGCTGCTGCGGCCGGCGCAGGGCAGGGGGGCTCCCATCAGGTAGGCTGGGGGTGCACGAGGGTGAGACCCCTGCAGGGTCGAGCACAGGGGGAAGGCCAGGAGCATGCTTTCCATGAAGCTAACCCATGCCTCGCCCTCCACTAGCACTTACCAGGTCATCGTGGAAGAAGAGCGGCCCAAGAAGCTGAAGCGGGAGCTGGGGGGGCCTGAGTGCTTCCCAGTGCCACTCACCTTCGACGACGCCGTGTCCCGTGGCTCTGTGCACTACTTTGGGGCTGAACTGCCTGCCAGCAGCCTCACTGAAGCCAAACCCTTCACTGTGGGGGATAACCAGACCTACAGTGGTTACTGGAACCCGCCGCTGGAGCCCAAGAAGGCGTATCTCATCTACTTCCAAGCCATGAGCAACCTCAAAGGGGTGAGTAGCTGTGGGATGCCGCTCTGTCCAATGGGGTGTATGGCGTGTGGTTGGACCAGGCAGGAACATGCCTGGAGTCTAGGGAGGTCAGAAAAAATGAGACTTGTTTTAGATCCCCTTGGGGAATCACACCCAATGTCCTGTTTGGGGGAAGCTGGCACACTGGGATCATGGATGGGTGTTCTCCTTCCTCCCAGCACTCCTGGGCTGTGCCTGTCCCCCTCCTGGTGCCAAAGCTGGGGGTGATGAAGCTTCTGCCAACCACTGCGGTACTGGCTGGGACCCCAACCAGTGCTGGTGGAGGAGCTCACCTTCCTGGGGCTAAAACTGGGGTGGAAAAGGACTGTTTGGGCAGCAGGAGCCACGTGTGCCTTGCTGGGACCTGCTGCTGGCACAGCGACTGCTCCAGAGAGCTCCTGGGAAGCTGCCAAGTTCCTCAGCTGCCTTCTCCCTGCCTGCTGCTGCCTGTTCTCTCAGCAAAGACATCACAGCCCCACTCCAGCAGCAGCCCCTGCATTCTCCGGGCTGATTTTCCTCCCAGTGGGACCACTGAGACCCTTCTTGGCTTCACCTGCTCCAGCAGCTCCATCCTATGTGGGAGAGGATGGGCTATGGAAGAGAAGCAACAGGACCACGGCAGCATCCTCATCCTGCATGGCTCCATTTTGCTGGAAAGGTGCTGGTTTTTGGATCCTTTCCTCTGCTCTGGGATTGTTCACACCTCACTGGGCTGTAATTACGGACGGGGAGGATCTCAGCTCTGGCTCGCTCGGATGCTGCTGGATAATAACTGGTGGCTGATGCTGGTTTATTGCCTTCCTGCTGGGAGGCAGTGGAGTTGTCCCGGCTGCCATCAGATGTGAAAAAAGCTGGATCTCAGCTTGGGTTTTCTGTGGGTTTTGTGCCAGATGAAGCAAGAAGCAGGAGAAGCAAGAGCTGGTGACTGCAGGGAGAGCAGTGCTGGAGCTGGCCCTGCCCTGGGAACACTGCAGGGGCTGGTCTTGGCTGGAGGGTGGATGGAGCAACATTGCCAGCACTGGTGTCCTGAGGGGGCTGGAGGATGCTTGGGAAAGAAGACAGTCCTGCCAAAATGGTGCTTTTTATTTTGCAATGGAATTTGGATCCATGAAAAGATGGAATATTTTAGCTGAACCCATCCCTAAAAGTGCAAAAGAAAAAAAAAGAAAGAATCTGTTGGAGAACTGAGCTGGAAGCCCTCACAGCAGCCTTGGCAGCACCCATGGAGCACTGGGGATGTGGCTTGGAAACTTGGATGGACGGAAGAATAAAACCCCACAAAGCTCTGAATGGTGACTTGGGAGCGTCTTAACCATAGTCAGTGATGTGCTGGCTTTGCTGGGTCTCTCCTTTGGTGCTCCTGAGCTTTGCTGTCCCCTTTGTGCCAGGAGTGGTGTCCTCAGCTAAACGGATGGACTCTGGTTTGGGGACTCTGGAGACAAACCATTCGGCAGCATCTCTTGGTGCGTGTGTCCCCCAGAGCCACGTCGGCTCAGCAGCAGCAGCTCCTGCAGCACCAATCACCTGCAAACTCCCTTGATTTGGGGGTCCAAGCACCCATGGATCAGCCTCGTGTCCCCCCAGCCTGGCTGGGAGCAGGGAGTGGAGCCGCTGGGATGCTCATCCCACACTGATTCCTCTTTTTCCTCCATAGGAAACACGGCTGAACTGTGTCCGGATCGCCCGCAAAGGTGAGTCCTCCCTTTCCCAGACCTGTGGTGGGAACTGGTGCTGCCAGTGGTGGGGATGGTTTGGCTGGAGGGTGGATGGAGCAACATTGCCAGCACTGGTGTCCTGAGGGGGCTGGAGGATGCTTGGGAAAGAAGACAGTCCTGCCAAAATGGTGCTTTTTATTTTGCAATGGAATTTGAATCCATGAAAAGATGGAATATTTTAGCTGAACCCATCCCTAAAAGTGCACAAAAAAAAAGAAAGAATCTGTTGGAGAACTGAGCTGGAAGCCCTCACAGCAGCCTTGGCAGCACCCATGGAGCACTGGGGATGTGGCTTGGAAACTTGGATGGACGGAAGAATAAAACCCCACAAAGCTCTGAATGGTGACTTGGGAGCGTCTTAACCATAGTCAGTGATGTGCTGGCTTTGCTGGGTCTCTCCTTTGGTGCTCCTGAGCTTTGCTGTCCCCTTTGTGCCAGGAGTGGTGTCCTCAGCTAAACGGATGGACTCTGGTTTGGGGACTCTGGAGACAAACCATTCGGCAGCATCTCTTGGTGCGTGTGTCCCCCAGAGCCACGTCGGCTCAGCAGCAGCAGCTCCTGCAGCACCAATCACCTGCAAACTCCCTTGATTTGGGGGTCCAAGCACCCATGGATCAGCCTCGTGTCCCCCCAGCCTGGCTGGGAGCAGGGAGTGGAGCCGCTGGGATGCTCATCCCACACTGATTCCTCTTTTTCCTCCATAGGAAACACGGCTGAACTGTGTCCGGATCGCCCGCAAAGGTGAGTCCTCCCTTTCCCAGACCTGTGGTGGGAACTGGTGCTGCCAGTGGTGGGGATGGTTTGTTACAGCCACGTCCCACACTCTTGTTTCCCATGTTCTTTGGTGTCCTGGTTTTCCCCTTGGTTGAGTTTTTCCTCCTGAATCTGATTGTGGAGACAGTGGGAGCCTGGACTCAGTGGTGCTGGATGCTGAACCAGGGATGGACAAGCTTGGGTGGGGTGTGACAAAAGATTGCACAAAGGGACTGTCTCACCCTGTGGGGACCCAAGTGGGGACTTGCCTGGGGTCACAGTGTGGCACTGCAGGGCCCTGTAATTCCAAAACAAAATTTAAAAATGCAGTAAAATGTGTTCAAGGAGCAATGTGCATCCCATGGGGCAAATCCCAGTGTTTCCCTGTCTGATGTTGCCAAACCCCCTGGAGCTGGGCGTTGACTCCTCCTGCCTGTCCTTGTCCCCTGGCAGCTGCCTGCAAAGAGAGCAAACGTCCCCTGGAGGTGTCACAGCACTCGGAGGAGATGGGCCTGATCCTGGGGATCTGTGCTGGAGGGCTCATTGTCCTGATCATCCTCCTGGGAGCCATCATCGTCGTCATTCGGAAAGGGTGAGGAGTCCCTGGTGTCTTCATCTGTCCCCTCTTCCCAGCTCCCTTCCTCACCACTCCAGCACTAACTGGGGATTTACTGGTGGTGATGCTGCCACGCTGGGCAGACTCCAAACCCTCCCTTGAGCTGTGGCTCCTTGTGCTCGTGCATCCTGGTGTCTTCCTTGCTCTGTGACACTGGACACTGTGGGAGGCACAGGGGACACTGAGGATCAAGGAGAGGAATCCTGGGGATGTCCCCTTGCCTTTTGCAGTGTTGTTCACTGTCCCTCTCCCCCATAATTTTCAGTCTTTTTCCTCTTGTTCTGCTCCTTCTCAGCTTGGTGATGCTCTGTTGATTCTGAATCAGTGGAAATGCTTCTGGCTTGGAGGGGTCCTGGGCTGAGCCCAGCTGTCCCCATCCCACCAGGCCACCCCAGGATGTGCAGCTCTGCACCCCTCCAGCCCAACATTACAAAAATCAGCTTAATTAGCCCTGAGATCTTGTCTCTGGGCTTCCCTGCTGCTTGGTCAGCCTGGGGCTGGGTCTGTCTGCACCAGCATTGTTGTCCTGGCTCCAGCCATAGTGGTGGTCACTGTAGGGATGGATTAGGGAAGGGAAACATCAGCTCCCTGGCATTGAGATGGGGAGGAGGGGAAGGAATTGCACCTTTCTGCTGTTTCCCCACCAAGATGGTGGGTGAGCACCCAGCACTGAGGGGAGTAGAGCCTGGGGGTGCTTGATTCTGGGAGAATGGCTGGAAAAAGGCTCTTCCCCTGGCTCTTGCCTGAAAAGTGGTGCAGTGTGTCCTGCTCAAACACCTGGACAGGCTCTGGCTCTTGTCCCAGTCTCCAGTTCCTTGGGATTGTTGGGAGAAGCAGCATCTCCCCTTCCTCTAGGGCCAGCCAGGGGCTGCCCATGCCTGGGGTGCAGATGCTTGGACCATCCCGGCTCCTCCTGGCCTTGTTTTAATGGGAAACCATTGAGCTTCCAGTGAAATGGGAGCAATCTCTGGCTGAGAACCTGCAGCTGGCTTTGAGTGAGTTGTTCAAATTTGGGTGCACACCAGAGGGGAGGTTTTCCCAGGGCTGAATGATGGACCCCTGGGGGCCCCCAGACAGCTCCCCCAGCCCCCTGTGGAGTCCCCACTCTCCCCATCTTGCTTGTCAGGGAGCTGGCATGAATGTAGCTGTGGACTTTCACTCTGGAAGCTCGGTGGGGTGGGAGGGAGGAGGGTGAGGGCTTTTGGGGACACTCATCCCTGGGAGCTGCTGCTTCTTTTCATTTGGGCTCAGTGCCCTGGAAAGCAGCTTCTTGCTGTGCGGGGCTCGAAGCGGCGCTGAGCCGGGGAGCTCTGAAAGGAGGCGGGGGAAAAAGGCAGCTCTGAAATACTTTCCCTGTGTAGGGCTTGGGATGATGGGAGGAAAGTATGTTAACAGCCTGGGGGGGCAGAGAGAAAAATAGCAGGACACAAGCTCAGCCCCTGTAAATCTGCAGATTTCTTTATGGCTCCATTTGCCCTTAAAGGGTTCGTGGTGATTTATGGCAAAGCAAGGCTGGAGTATCCCTGTTGCTCTGGGATGGTGTCTGTGTGTATGGCTGGATCTGATGGAGCACATGTGGTTTTGGGAGTGATGCTGTTGGGATGGTGGGTTGGAAGCTGTGAGTGCTGCTGCTGCCTTCCTGTTGTCCATGCTGTGGGGTAAGAGGAGGAGCAGTTTTGCTTTAGCATCCCAGGGTGAACCTGCCAAAGGACAAACCAGAGCCACAGATCAGACCTGGTGCTGAGACCTCTGAATCTGGTACTGTTGGGAAGCTGGAACAAGCCCGTCAATCTCCTCCAGAGCACTTTGTTGTTGGAGAAACACTGACATGTTGGAATGGAAATGCACCCTGAGAAGATGTTCACCTTTAAGCACCAGTGCACTGGAAATGTGGTGCCCTGACCCCGTTTCCCGCACTGGGGTTGCACCAGCTCCTTGGGGGATGCCCTATTTTGTACATATTTCCTGTTCAGTCTTAAAAATTGTGGAACAACCCCTCTAACAAGGGTGCTGTGGACACCCCAAGCCTGGTGTGGGGATTATGGTCACCCTGTGAGCTGGTGCCTGGGCTCTGCCATGGGGGTACCAGCTCCTACCTGAAGTTAAATAACTTACGGATGCAAAAGGGGAGCCAGATTTTTTTGATGGTGCATTTAATTTTCTGGCAGCCGAGTTGCCCTGTAACCCCCCTTCCCTGTGCTGGAGAGAAGCTGCTTATGCAATATCTGCTCTTCTCTTTGTCTGCATGCTTGCCAGGAGGAACTACTATTCTTATTCCTATTACCCGTAAGTAATTGCCATTCTCTCTCTCCTTCGCTTTTCCTCCCGGCCACCCCCTTGCCTGCCTGCTCCAACAAGTCCTTTTCTCTGCTGAGTACATTTTCCTGAGCCAGGGGCCCTTAAAAATAATGCTGCTGAGCTCGTTAAAAAACTAAAGGCAGCTTAAAGGGGAAGGGTCAGTGACTCTGGGTTGAATTCTGGATTTTAGCAGCATCTTGAAGTGTCCCAGCCCCACCAAGGTGCCAATATGGGCTCAGGTCTCCTCTTCATCCTTTCTTTGGTTTAATCCCCACTCTGGCTTCTCAGGAGTCTGGTGCTGCCTCTCAAACACACTCAGGTTTTTTACCCTAAATGTCTTGAAGGCCAGTTGCTCCTGGGCTTTCCCAACATCCTTGTTAGGTGTCTTAACAGGGACCTTGCAGAGGGGGAAAAAGCTTCCCTGGTGGGTGCAGTCAGGGGGTCCATCCTGTCCCTTGGGATCGATTTGGCCCCCCCAGTGTGGTTTTAGACTCATAGAATGGTTTGGGTCGGAAGGGACCTTTAAAAGTCATCTCTCCAGCACTCCTGCAGTGAGCAGGGACATCTTCAACTAGATCAGGTCACACACAACCCTGTCCAGCCTGACCTTGAATGCATGTATGGGGCATCTTCCAGCTCTCTGGGCAACCTGGGCCAGGGTCTCACCACTCTCATTGTAAAACATTTCTTCCTTCCATCTAGTCTGAATCTCCCCTCTTTTACTTTAAAACCATCACCCTCTGTCCTCTCACTACAGGCCCTGCTTTTAGGTCTGTCCCCATCTTTATAAGATCCTTGAAATACTGAAAAGCTGCCATAAGGTCTCCCTGGAGCCTTCTCTTCTCCAGGCTGTACAACCCCAGCTCTCCCAGCCTGTCTCCAGAGCAGAGCTGCTCCAGCTCTTGGATCATCTTTGTGGCTTTCTCTGGACCTGCTCCAGCAAGTCCATGTCTGTCTTCTGTTCCTTACACTGTGCAGCACAGCAGTGCATGTGGTGTGTTGGGTGGTCTGTGTTGGAGTGAGGTGATGTGGGGAAACACCTGGAGAAATGGGGCTGGGGGAGCTGGGGCTGCCCAGTGCAATGGCTCCCAGCCAGGGACAGCCTTTGCTTCCCAAGGAGCAGTCCTGGCTGTGCCAACCATGGGACACATTCTGGGCAGCCCAAGCAGAGTCCAGCACAAGCCACTAGAATGCTGAGGGAACTGGAGCATCTACTGGATGAGGAAAGGCTGGGAGAGCTGGGGCTGTTCAGCCCTGAGGGGGAATCTGATCAGTGCTGATCAGTGTCTACAGGGGGTGTCAGGAGGATGGGCCAGACTCTTCTCAGGGGTGTCCAGTGACAGGACAAGGGGCAATGGGCACAAACTGGAGCACAGAAGGTTCAAGCCAAACATAAAGAGAAACTTCTTGACTGTGAGGGTACCAGAGCCCTGGGCCAGGCTGCCCAGGGAGGTTGTGGAGTCTGCATCCCTGGAGACATTCCCAACCTACCTGGATCCTGTGGGATCTGCTCTAGGGGATCCTGCTCTAGCAGGGGGTTGGATGATCTCCAGAGGTCCCTTCCAACCCCACCACTCTATGATTCTTGGCAGGAGGAGACAGGAGGAGATATTAAGGATGAGCAGCTGGAGTTGCTGCAGCTGGTGAGGGATGATCTATGTGGGGCTATGACCAGCCCAGAACATTGGAAAACTGAAGTGTGGTGATGTGAGAATTGTCCATCCTGCTCCCCCAAATAACCCAAGCTTTGAGGGGGGGGGTTTACAGCCCCATTGGGTCAGTCCTGCTTACCTGGGCTTCTCCCCTGCTCCCCTTGTCATCCTGCTGCAGCAAACCTGTCAGCATGACCAAAGCCACCATTAACTACCGCCATGAGAAGACCCACATGATGAGCGCCATCGACAGGAGCTTCACTGACCAGAGCACCCTGCAGGAGGACGAGCGCCTGGGGCTCTCCTTCATGGACACCCACAACTACAGCAACCGGGGTAAGGGGGGACCCATCCAGCCACAGCAGGGATCCCCAGTAATCCCTGATTATCCCCGAACCAGCTGAAATGTTTCTCCAAGGCTCAGGAGCAGTTATTGCATCTGTTTTAGCCTGATGTGTGTAGCACCTTGGAGGCTTCTCCCTGCCCTGTGGGAACCTCCAAGGGTGCAGATCTTACTGGTGTCTGTGGAAGCTTTTATGATCATCCAGGCTTTGCTGAAGGAAAACCACTGGCTTGAGCTGGTTCTCTGCATCTCAGCCTCTTGGGGTGGAAATCTGAGTTTGTGGCTGGGGGGGTATTGAGGCTGTTCGTGGGCTCAGTCGCTCTCTGCAACCCCCTGAAGCTGAGTGAACCCCAACTCTTGCCTTACACTGAGATTGAGGGCTTCCCACCAGCCTCCAGCCAGCACCCCTGGCATGGCTGCGCAGCCTTGAAGGGTTAAAGAGCCTTCACATCAGAGGGAAGCTGATAATTTAACACCCACTGGAGTGTGCATCTCCGTGCTGATTTAGTTGTAAAAGAACTTGTCGGATGCCCCAGTTTCCACCATATGCTAATGACATCTGGTGCAGTCGCTTCAAGATGCTGCTCAGCCACGGCTCCTCCGCAGGCTGTGGGATTCAGGCTCCTCCTGGCATTGTCTCCTGGATAATAGAAGCCCAGAGGGCAAACCTTTCCTCCTCTTGACACATCTAACATCTAGCTAGGTGCAGTATCTTTCAGTTACTTTCAGTCTTTGAAATGCTCTAGGAGTGTCTGGGCTGAGCTGGGGTTGCTGCTGTTTTAGGGAAGGAGCTGTGGGGCCACATCCTGCTCCCACTCTCTTGCCTCCTGCTGGCATCTCCTCATCCCTTTCCTTGGCAGGGGAGGAGACCTGGGGAGCTTGGGTTCTGCCACAGCTGGGGGCACTCTCTGCTGAGGCCACCCCTGGTTGTAAACATTCTTAGTGAAGGTAAATGAATGGGCTGCTCCATCACTGTCTGGGGGCTGTTCCCTACTGGGCCTCAGTTTCCTTCCAATCAAATAAAGTCACTAATGCTTCTCATGGAAACTCAAGTGGGTCCTCATTGTGTGGCTGCATGGAGCCACCAGCACCTTGCAACCCCCTGCAATTCATTCCTCATTAAACCCCGTGGCTGGTGGCCTGTCAGCTGTTCTTTGTGCCCACTGATTTCTAACAGGTTTACTGTGATCCTGAAAGGCTGTCATGGGAGTTATTGCTTTGTGGTGTGGGAAGAGCTGCAGAGATCACAGGGAGGGTCTGGACCACTTGTGTCCCCTGGAGAGAGACCAGCTGCAGCACCAGCATCTCCTGGGCTTTGGATCTAGATTTCCTGGTGCGAGGAGGTGATTGGGGATGTGTCCAAGGCTCTGCTCCCCTGATGCCCTTGGTTCTCTTTCCCCCCTGCAGGTGACCAGCGCAGCAGTGTGGTCAATGAGTCCAGCAGCCTGCTGGGGGGCTCCCCCCGCCGCCAGTGCGGCCGCAAGGGGTCCCCGTACCACACGGGGCAGCTCCATCCCGCCGTGCGGGTGGCTGATCTCCTCCAGCACATCAACCAGATGAAGACAGCTGAAGGCTACGGCTTCAAGCAGGAGTACGAGGTGAGAGCAGCTTGTGCTGGTGTCTCGGGGGAGGGTGGGAGGTAAGATGGACAAGGTGGCATGGGTGGGACCTGTGTGCAAGGAGAAGATGCTCTCAACCCGGAGCTGTGGTGCTGGGGGCAGCAGGAGCTGGAGCTCACAGCTCTCCAGGCAGGAGTTAGCAGCATGTGGGGTCAGATCTGTGGACCTGGCAGGTCAGGTTCTGTTAGCTTGAACAGGTCCCTGACTTGAACCAAACCAGCCCTGCCAGCCCATCCTGCATCTCTCCTGTCTGCAGTGCATCATTCCACCTCTCCTGCAAGGGCTGGGGTTGCTTTTCCCTTTCTCAGGTCCTCCTGGGCACCATGATGTTCCTCTGCTCCCCAGCACACGTGTTCTGTGACAAGCATGGCCATAGCCTAAGGACAAGCAAATCCTTGACAATCCAGCAGCTCCCAAGCCCATGGTGGACAGGATGTGGAAGAGGGTGATTCCCAGGCGGAGGGAAGTCCCCCCTCAGTGTCACTGGCCACACTGTGCCCATCCCATGTGGTCAGAGCTTGTACTGGAGTGCACTGCCACAGCAAGCCCCACCATGCTCAGCCAGGTTGATTTCCCAACTCCATGGTGTCCCACAGGTCTGGCCATTGAAATTTTCCAGTGAAATTATTGTTTAGTGCTTAATTGCTTGAAGTACAGGAGCCTTTCCCTCCTCATCCCCCCTCCCCCCTCCTTTCATGCATTGGACAAACCAGGGCTTGCTATAATCATTAGTGCTCCTTGAAAAGCTGCTGTATGTTCTTGGAACCACTCATTTGGAATCACTCAGATATTATGGGAGGGGAGAAAACATGTAATTTCCTTCCACTTTCCTCCTCTTATGCCAATCTCTGAACGTTACTGTTATTACACACAAACCTGTTCTGTGCTGGTGAGGTTTAGAAAAAAACACCACAACCAACCTTGGAAAAAAAAACCCACCCAACCAGGCATTCTGTAATTTGCTGGAAAATGAGGCATTTTGTGGATGCACCAGAAGTGTTTACCTGGCCAAGAGTGTTATGGAGATGGCCCAGGGACTGCAAGACCCAAGGGTTGGGGTGGAGGGACCAACCCTGTCTGTCCTGCTCCACAGGTTGGTTGTGGGGCTGAGGGGCGCCACAGGCTGCTCTCAGGTGATGATGTCCATCCTTTCCTTACAGAGCTTCTTTGAAGGCTGGGATGCTTCCAAGAAGAAGGACAAGACCAAAGGGAGACAGGATCATGTATCGACATGTGAGTGGCTGTAGAAGAGGTGTAGAACCCCTGGACAGCTCGAGCAACCTTCTGAAGGGCTTTGGGGGCATTTTTTAGTAGATATCTGGTCCATGGCAAGAAATAAACTGGTGAGGTTTGATTGGTCAAGGGCAGCAGAAATGTCCTTGCAGGAGTCCCAGCCTGTGAGCTCCTGTTGGGCATCAACTGCTGGAGCAAATTGGAGGGTTGGAGCTGGGCCGGCGTTGACCCCAGGAGCTGGATAACCCTTGAAGACAGAACATCTTGGGATGCTTTAAAACTGGTGATGCTGTCACCGTGATACTGTGGTGGTGCCAGAAAGCCCCAGATAACCTGGAGTGTGTTTTCTTGTATGGACTTCTGAGAAACTGCAGCCCTGTCCCAGGGAGCTTCTGGGGTGGGCGTGCAGGATGCGACAGAAGGGTTAAATGATGAATTTTAGGACAGAATAAGGGGAAAGAGCTTGACTCCCCCCCAAGAAGGGAGATGCTCCTCACCAGGTCCCTCCACAGTCAATGTGGCATGGCTGCCTTGCTCCCTGCTACATCTCTGGTGATGTTCCTGCAGGGATGAAGATACAATCCTGGTTCTCCTGGAGCTCTGGTGCTCTCCACCTCCCATGTGCTTTATTCTGCAGCTTCATCCCTTCTGCTCCAGCAATGTCCAGTAGACACTGAAGGTTGGGCAGAACTCTTCACTGGCCTGGCTGTGGCTGTTCTGGTGCCCTGCTGGGGCAGGCTTAGGGTGCTGGAGGGTGGGTGCCCTGTGTCTTTGGCAGGACTGAGCAGAGCTCAGGGAAATACCAGGCTGAAAGCTGCTGACTTATGTTCCTGCTGGTCTAAACCACTATCTTTGGAAAGACCTCCGCCAGCTTGTGTTTACTGCTTTAGAATCATATCATAGAATGGTTTGTGTTGGAAGGGACCTTAAAGATCATTTAGATCCAACCCCCTGCATGGGCAGAGAAGCCTCCCACCAGCCCAGGTTGCTCCAAGCCCCATCCAACCTGCCCTTCAACACTGCCAGGGATGGGGCAGCCACAGCTTCCCTGGGCAACCTGGGCCAGGCTCTCACCACCCTCAGTCCCAACAATTTCCTCCTCACATCCAACCTCAATCTCCTCTCTTCCACTTTTGATCTATTCCCCCTTGTCCTCTCACTACAAGCCCAAGTGTTTTGTGGATTCCTGGTGCAAAAAGATTGCAGAGAGAGCCTGTGAGCCTGTTGGGGTGACCCTCTTCTCCCCCTGGGTGCTGATGGTCCCTTGTCCCCTTGCTCTCCAGACGACCGTCACCGTGTGAAGCTGCACCCGCTGCTGGGAGACCCCAACTCTGACTACATCAATGCCAACTACATCGATGTAAGTGGGGATGGTGCCTGTGTCCATAGGGGCTGGTCTGGGGCAGGAGATTCCTGTGGACCCTGTGGGCTGTCCCTGAAGAACCAGCAGCACTGGGAGGAGCTGGGACAGCCCAGGAAGGGCTGAACCAAGAGTCATGCCATGAAGAGCCTGGCTTGTTATGTCCATCAGCAATGCTTGCTGTGTCTCCTCTGCTCTGTCCCTCCTTTCTTCTCCCTTTCTCCATCATCTCCCCTTGCCTGCTTTTGTGGCTGTGGTTCTCCTTCCTCCCTGGATGAAGGATGTTGAGGGGGCCAGGGGACCTGCTGTGGGCTCACACTGGGATACCTCTAGATGCTGCATGTCAGTCTGGGCAGAGCTTGGCCCTGGTGTCCTCTAAGAAGGGTGTCTCCCAAGAGCCATGTCCCGTCACCTCCAGCAATGCTGACACCAGGAGAGGTGCAGAAAGGCTCCATCAGGCATAGGGCTCAAGCATCTCCTGGAAGAAGCAACAAGTTCCACTCTTCCCTCTTGCCTGGAGGACATCAGCTGTCAACAGTGGCTCAATGCCACCATGATGAGCTCCCTGTGCCCAAGCAGCATCCCTCTGCCTGTCCCCCTGTGTCCTTTCTCCCCTGTGGCTCTCCATGACCTTCTCCAGGGCTGGTGCTCTAACCTGTCTCTTGATCTGTGCCTCACTAATGTCTCTGTCTCTGATCTTTTTCTCTCAAACCTGTGTCGGGATCGTTAAGATTCGGATTAACAGAGAAGTAAGTAGCTGGTTCCCCTCTCCCTCCTTCTCTCTGCTCCCTTCTCCTCTCAGGTGTTGTACCTGGCAGTGTCTGGTTTCCATAGCTTTTCAGGTTGGGAAAGTGTGTGGATAAACTTGGGTTCAGGCCAGGGAATGGCCTGAATGGATGAGAGGTCTTGGTGGCACGTCCTCCCCAGGGTGGTGAGGAACAGGGACTCTGTGCTCAGAGGAGTTGTTGAATTCAACCCACAAAAATCCCCCATGGAAGGGACCCACGTGGGATGGAGAAGCCCTAGTCACTTCCATGCATGTGATGGGGTTGAACTCTGTTGGGTCCACAGCCAAGGGGTGGGACATCAGGTCTCTGGTCTCTTTGACAGTGGCCTTGCTGGGATGTTCTCTTTAGGCTGGCATGTCCCTGTAAGGAGTTGGGAATGGCCCCAGCAGTGGCTGGGATGAAGGAAGGGAGCGGCGCTGTCACCCAGCATTGTGTGGCTGCTGCAGGATGGGATGGTGGCCACCACCTGGCCCAGTGGACTTGAGCAGCAGTTGCCACCAGTTGGATGACTGGGAAATGTTTTATGGGGCTGTGCCCTACTGTGTCCCCATGACTTGGGACTGACATCTCTGCTTCCCTTGCAGGGCTACCACAGGTCCAACCACTTCATAGCCACCCAAGGTGAGTCACTGTCCCCCCAGCTCCTGGTTCAGCCGCTGGGTTTTGTCCCTGGGGAGATTAATCTTGTGTGGGCAAGAAAGGGAGGGAGCAGGACAGTTTATGGCCAAACAAGGTGGTAGCAATGAGGAGCAGCTCCCACCCCTCCCACTGCCCCACCACATCATGTGTCCCTTGGGAAAGAGGGGGCTTGAAGTGCTGCGGAGGGGTTGGTGTGGCGAGGCAGGGGGGGAATGCAGGGGCACGGTGGTGCTGCTGGAGGTGGGCTCTGCCTGTGCTGTCTGTCCATCCCTGGTGGCTTTTCCTCCATCCCACAGGGCCCAAGCAGGAGATGGTGTATGACTTCTGGCGCATGGTGTGGCAGGAGCACTGCTCCAGCATCGTGATGATCACCAAGCTGGTGGAGGTGGGCCGGGTAAGGACACCATCCCCCTCCATTCAAGATCCAACTCTGCTAGAAGCCTCCTCCACAGCACCATAAACTCATCCCATCCCCTCCTCACAGGTGAAGTGCTCCAAATATTGGCCGGATGACTCCGAGATGTATGGGGACATCAAGATCACCCTGGTGAAGTCAGAGACTCTGGCTGAGTACGCCGTCCGCACCTTTGCTCTCGAGAGGGTACGATCCTGACCCTGCCCTGCCAGGGAACCATCCACCTTGGCCATCCCTGATTGGTTTAGCATTTACCAATTCCCTATTGATCTACCCCAACGTGGGGCTTTCACCCCTAGTTGAGGTGCAGCTTCTGAAGCCTGGTTGATGCTCTTAGCTTCTTCCTTTGCCTTTTCCCCAGCTCTGGGCTCTCTGCTGGGGCCAGCAGCTCAGCCCAACTTTGGTTTGGGCAGTGAGTGAGTGTTTAATTTCCACGTGAGCACCATGGAATTACAGTGAGGATGGAGGAGGCTTCTTTCTCCTCTGTGCTGGAGCACAGGTTATGTGGCCATTACTCTCTAGTGTAGTATGTGTGGATGGAACTGGTGTAATTTACCCCTTAATCTACAGGAGTGGAAAATTACTGTTTATTTATAGGGCAAGCAGCAAACATGCTCATGGAATGAGACCTGTCGCTGCTGCCTTCTCCTCCTCTTCCTCCTTAGATGTTTTTCAAACCTCATGCAGAGAGGAGGCAGGAGCTGTTGGGCTGCTGAAGCAGCCACCTGCTGTGTGATCCATCTGCCTGGATGCTGACCTGGCAAAATCATGGATTCCCAAGGAAAACAGCACATTTGCATGGCTGGGGCAGGATTGTTACCCCCTGTGCAAAGAATCACAGAATCTTGGGGGTTGGAGGGGACCTTGAAAGGTCATCTAGTCCAACCTCCCTGCCAGAGCAGGATCACCTAGAGCACATCATCCAGGATGGGTGGTGGGTTTGGAATGTCTCCAGTGAAGGAGACAACCTCTCTGGGCAGCCTGTCCTGGGGCTCTGTCCCTCTCACAGGAACGTTGTTTTCTGAGATTTCTGTGGAAGCTGTGCTCCAGTTTGCCCCTTGTCCTATCACTAGACATGACTGAAGAAAGCCTGGCTCTCCCTCCTCACTCCCATCTCCCCCCTTCCCTTGCAGCGGGGCTACTCGGCCCGGCACGAGGTGAAGCAGTTCCACTTCACGTCGTGGCCCGAGCACGGCGTCCCGTACCACGCCACGGGGCTGCTGGCCTTCATCCGCAGGGTCAAGGCCTCCACGCCGCCCGACGCCGGCCCCATCGTCATCCACTGCAGGTACCTGGGTGCCCAGGGGGCAGAGCCAGCTCTGGGGAGGAATGTCCCCCCTCTGGGATGGGGTTTGTGGGCGTTATGGGTTGCCCCGGGGTTGGAGCGCGCTGTCTAGTGTTCCTGCTCAAAGCAGGGAGGTTGGAACTGGATTGTTAAGGTGCCTTCCAACCTGAACTACTCTGTGATCCTGTGGTGCTCAGCCCGTGGCTCTGAATGGTGCTAAAAGCTCTGAATAATGCTGACATATTCATAGAGTCATAGAAGGGTTAAGGTTGGAAAGGACCATAAGGATCATCAGGTTCAAACCCCCCTGCATGGGCAGGGACACCTCCCACCAGCCCAGGTTGCTCCAAGCCCCATCCAACCTGCCCTTCAACACTGCCAGGGATGGGGCAGCCACAGCTTCCCTGGGCAACCTGGGCCAGGCTCTCACCACCCTCACACCCAAGAATTCCCTCCTCATGTCCAACCTCCATCTCTCTCTTCCAGTTTTAATCCATCCCCCTTGTCCTCTCCCTCCCTGCCCTTGTCCCAAGTCCCTCCCCAGCTTTCCTGGAGCCCCAGCACCCACACAGCTTTGTCCCCATGGATGAGGGTGGCACAGGGGGAAGGGCAGCTGTGCTGCTGCTGGTGGTCAGGACATGAAGTCTGGTCAAATGGAGAGGCAGGGGGGGCAGGGTGTCCCATGGAGGCTTGGCCACTGGAGATGGGAGGACACCAGTGGCACATCTGAGCAGGAGTGGTGGCTTTCTGTCCCCTGAGCAGGGGTCCCCACACAGTGGGTTAATGGCTCTTCCTCTGCTGGGCAAACAAGGAGGAGCTGATGAGTGGCAGGGATCTTTTTTTAATTTTATTTGATTTCTCCCTGTCAATTGCCTCATCAGTATTCATTCACCAGCAACAGCCAGTGTGATTAGTGCCTGCAGCCTGTAATCACTGATAATCACGACAAGTGATTCATCAGCCCCAGAAATTAGTATTTCACGGAAAAAAGACTTTGTAGGAAAGGAGCAAGGGGAGTGGTTCTGTTCCTGACACACTGGTAGGTCTTTGGCTGCAAGTCCAAACATGTCAGGACTTAGGATGTCACTATGCTGGGTCATGTGGCCCCAGGCATCCTGCTGGGCTCAGCCTGAACCTGAGAGTCTCCTCTGGGGGATTTCAGACCCCCTCTGATCCAGGGATACTTCTCTTCACCCTTGGGGCTTGGTGAAGAGCATCCTCCTTGGCCCTTTCTGAATGGGATCCCAGTGGACTGTTGGCACTCAAGATGGTTTAGCTGCTGGTTTAGTTCCAACAAGCATGTGTTTTCCTGTCTTAAAGCAAAAATGAACCTTAGACTTGGGTGCTCATCCTGCCACCCCACTGCCTGACCATTGTGCAACCCCTGGGCTGCTGCAGCTGTGTGTTTGGGGGGGCTGGTAGGGCAAAGCTAGGCTGTGGTTACGGGGGTGTGTGTAGTCCTGGACCCCCAGCTGCCTCCACATCCATGAGCAGGGACTGTACATCCAGCCGTTGCTTGTGTAGACCTTGCTCCATGCCCCCCAGCACCTGGGGCTGTGTGTGGATGCTGTGCAGACTGGGAATGTCTTTGCTGTGTTTCCCTCCTCCATCTCCAGTGCTGGCACGGGGAGAACTGGCTGCTACATTGTCCTGGATGTTATGTTGGACATGGCTGAGTGTGAGGGCGTCGTGGACATCTACAACTGTGTGAAGACCCTGTGCTCAAGGAGGATCAACATGATACAGACTGAGGTGGGTGGCCCTTGGGGACGTCTGGGGACACGTGGGGCTGCGGTCCACAGCACGTGGTGGAGGCTCAGCCTTCTCTTCTTCCCTCCTCCCAAAAGGAGCAGTATGTCTTCATCCACGATGCCATTCTGGAAGCCTGTCTGTGTGGGGAGACCAGCATCCCTGCCAGTGAGTTCAAGCCCACCTACAAGGAGATGGTGAGGATCGAGCCGCAGAGCAACTCCTCGCAGCTGCGGGAGGAGTTTCAGGCGAGTGGACCCGAAATCTTTTCCCTCCCCCCCCACAACCTGCAACACCCTCCTGTTCCTTGCCGACCTCAGGCAGGGGTGCAGGCAGGGGTGCTAAAGGGCAGCACGTGTCCCTGCAGACCCTGAACTCGGTGACTCCCCACCTGGATGTGGAGGAGTGCAGCATCGCCCTCCTGCCCCGCAACCGGGAGAGGAACCGCAGCATGGACGTCCTGCCGCCCGACCGATGCCTCCCCTTCCTCATCTCCGTGGATGGAGACAGCAACAACTACATCAACGCGGCCTTAACTGATGTGAGGAGGCCTGGGAGGAGGGATGGGGCCCTTTGGGTTGTCTCAGGCAGCTTTTCACTGCAAAAACGGTTTGAATTTGTGACCTCGTTTTGCACGAGGGCACCAGGGCGTGTGGCAGTCCCGGCTGCGTGGGGGGGAGGAAGGGCTGGGACCAGTGTTGTGGGGTCCTTCAGTTTTGTTCATGTTTGGGCTCCTCGTGACAAGAGGGACTTTGCTCTTTGCTCAAAGGTGACATCTTTTCATAGGATCGTAAGAGTGGTTTGGGTTGAAGGGACCCTAGAGACCATCTAATTCCACCCCCCTGCCATGGGAAGGGACACCTCCTTGGAGGTTGCTCCAAGGCCCCCAGTTACTTGTGTGGGACACCCTTTCCTGCAGGGTCTGAGAGCAGAAGGTGGGTGCTGTTGTCCCCACAAGGATGGGAATCACCCTTGTGATTCCCAAACACAGACCTGTGTTTGTAGCATCTTCCCATCACCAAGGCAGGGAAGGACCGAAGCTGTGCCAGGGAGCCCAGCTCTGCTCAAGTGCAGAGAAGACACCTTTGGTGGCACCCACCTTCTGGCTGCACTTTTTTTTTTGGGGGTGTGACAGCAGTGACTTCATCCTTAGCAGTGCTATCTTCCCTCCCCCCAGAGCTACACCAGGAGTGCTGCCTTCATTGTCACCCTGCACCCCCTGCAGAACACAACCACTGACTTCTGGCGGTTGGTGTACGACTACGGCTGCACCTCCATCGTCATGCTCAACCAGCTCAACCAGTCCAACTCTGCCTGGGTGAGTGCTGCTGCTCTGGGGACCCTGCAGGCCCTGTGGGTGGCCTTGTCCTGCTCTGTCCCCACTGCCTTGGCAGTGCTGCAGCCCCTGCCTTGCTCGCTCAGCTCCTTTTCCTCAGCAAGAGGAGGTGGGACTGGCTGCAGGATTTATCCCCTCAGGACACCATCCTGGCTGGGTTGGTGTTGGGTTGGCATTGGGTTGGTGTTGGGTTGGCATTGGGTTGGTGTTGGGTTGGCATTGGGTTAATGTTGGGTTGGCACTGGGTTACTCTGCCATAATCTTTTTGGATGCCCAGGGAGATACAAGGTTCATGACAAGTATAACCAAGTTGTTATAAAAGAGCTGATTTTTATCCTCTGTTTACAGTGGGGAAACTGAGGCACGGGGGGAGTTTCCTGCATTCATCTTCCAAGGGCACTGGTGGCCTGTGAACACTGCTCTGTAAATCAGCCAGCTGCAGAGTGACTGTCCCATGGGTTTTGTGGTGTGGTGGGATGTGCAGGTGTGCCAGGCTGGAGAGGAGGGTGTCACCTGGAGGAGAGGGGACAGAAGGCAGGGAGCAGGGGGGCCCATGCTCAGCCTCAGCTTGCTTTGCTTTCCCAGTGCAGTCTCTCCAGAGAATGCCTGGAGGGCTCCTGCTGCCACCAGGGTGGACATAAAAGTCTGCTCCAGGTCTGTAATGTTAATTCAATGAGGAAACTTATTGGATTTTTACATAAAATTAGCATCATAGACTCCAAATGGATGTCCAGAGAAGACTTCATTAGCTGATTTATTTTACAAGTTGAGATCAGATACTCGACATAAATCACCCAAATCAGCAGTTATGCTGTTCATGGATGTAGGATGGGCAGCAGGAGGCCAAGTCCCCTCCCTGCAGCCCCTGCTCTGAGCTGTGGGGGGAAGGGACATGGACTCCCCCAGGGCTGTGAGGGGTTGGTTTGGTGTGAGGGGCTCTGGGTGCTGGGGCAGCTCCTGGGTGAGCCCCAGGTTGGCCTTTTGCTGGTTTTGCTGAGGGCTTTGTGGGGCCTGGAGCCAAACCCTCCATGTCCCTGAAGGCCTCTCCAGCCCTGGGTGTCAAGACCACAGCTGGGAGCAGAAAGAGGCAACTGGAAAAGATTTGATTATTGAGAATCAATGTCATGTTCTACCTTATGAGCCCCTCAACCCCCTCAGCTCTCTGCTGCCCCTCCTCCAGCCCCCTGGGCCCAGCCCCATGGCTGGGGGTTGTTCCACAGGAGCAGTTTGGGCTGGGGGTTGGTTCTTCCTGGCACAGGAAGGGCAGAAGCTGCTGGCAGCTCAGGCAGGGCTGGCCCTGGAGCTCAGCCTGAAG